TTCGTGGTTGTAGGACTGGTTGCTCTAAAGTGTCAAAAGGCTGCAACATAGGAGAAAGAGTTTTAGGTAAATCTGTATCCAGGAATGAAACATGTCAGTGGATGACTTGCAATGGACACATTGCTTGGCGCAAGACTCGCTTGAGTCCAGGCAGGCGATCACCTGGCCACCGAGCCAGGAACCGAGGGTACCACCCTCCAGGGACACGGGGAACCTAGAGTAGATACCAACTGAAATCTATGTTAGAAAGAAGATGTCAGAACATCCGGCCTTTTGCTTCAAGGGTTCTCTTCAAGGACATTGCAACCTAGCTGCACCTAAAACCTAAGGGCTTGACTTGCTGAGTTTGTCTTCCTCAAATGGCTGCACCACTGGATACTGCTGACAACCCTTGTCGCATTCGACAGTTCAATTGATGTTCAAGTCTGGCTAATTGTTGCTGTAAAGAACGGGTCTTGATTTGTCCAACGCCGAGTCCGTTTTCGCAGTGTTCCTGCAATCTGGGCGCTCCTTTACACACTCTAGAGATTTACATCCCACCCTGAAAGCATGATCCGATATATCTTTATTGTGTTGTATCAAATAGGACTATAATAGGACCTTAAATAGGATGTGATTTGGTCATATTTGGTCATTGAACTCCTGGGTAAAAGATGTGAAAAAGAACACCACTCCATCAAACAGTTCGAGAATTCCTCAATTAAGGAATTCTGGTCAACGGATTCATCCGTTCAATGTTGCGGCAAAACGCATGACTGGGGCTAGCTTGCGAATCGATGATGGCAAGCCCGTGTCAATGTCTGAGATATCCATATCCTCAGATAAGCTAACCACAGTGAAGTTTAATTTACAAAACAACCAGTGGGCCAGCATCCAAAGCAATCAATACCAATGTCATGTTGCAAAATTAAAAACCAGGAAACTTCCTCCAGCCAGGGCAACCTTGGGAGACTGGTGCTCGGGACAGCGGCATCATGGCAAAGATTCACCTGGGCTAGGATTGGAAAGTGGTAGGTTTTTCTTGGCCCACCCACCAGACAGAACAAATGACATGTCTTCTGTAAAATTGTTTCAAGGAGTCACTAAAACGTGACGCTCCTGGCGGAAGTCTCTGAAGGAGCTCTTGCCAGAATGAGGGCCGCCAGCGCCAGATAGTCAACCTTCTTCGGGCCCTTGACAGGAACCAAAGGTCTGGGCGAAGTGGGGATGGGCGGCAACAGTCGCAAATAGCGATGTGGCCAGCATAGCAGAACGTCCTGCAACAAAGAGGATGGAAGTGTGCACAAGGCCATCAAGCAAAGAAACTGATCAAGGTTCAAACTGACTGCAATTGCCACGCATGTGGGGGAACCAGTCCTGCACTAGCATCTGGTCAGCTGCATATCGCTTGAGCATCATCACCACATCCTCCGGGTTTGAAGGAAGTCCTGCTGCTCGCCCCTCTGCATGTACTGGAAGGTTCCGTGGCAAGTCTCAGGGTAAACACCGCGCAATGGTGTCAAGAGCTTGTACTACAGTGCAGCAAAATGCTTTGCCCCAAACCTACAAACCTTGCGACATTGAAGCCTCAAAGCATGAACGCTTTGAAACAGGGCCAGCCTTTTCTCTTCATCATGCTGTAGCCGTGCAGGCCTGAAGAATCCTCTTTGAATCCTCCAGAGTACGTGCATGGTACAGCAGAAAGCCACTGCTTCCATGGCCGAATCGCATCCAAATACTCCACAATCACTTTGCAATTGGGTCCGACCCACTCCCGGATCCCAATCTTCTCTAGAAGCCACCGAAGCTTCCTCAACCAAATCAGTTGAACATAAGACTGCTCCCATGGAAACGCTTTTGAACAAGCTAGCGAGGCAAACTCCAAACTTTACGAACTGGTTCCACAAAACCTGGAACAACATTCAAGTCTCTCCACCAGGTCATCCGCATCGCAAACTATATCGACATACTTCATGCCAGTTGCGATAAGCCCGAATAGCTGATCTGAGTGTTGCAGGGAATAAACAGCTACTCTGACAAAGGACAGTCAACAATCAACAACTGACATTTCAACCAAACGCACAATCCAGTGACTGATTGAACAGTGACGAACAAATGTTGACAAGTAGTTCTTCAATGATCTTCAATGCATCTTTGACTTTGTAAATTCGATGTTTGGATGCTTTCACGTTATGCCATCAAGGCTCCGAGCGTTCCGTGAGTGTGCCCCACTCTTCCGAAGAGTAAGGCCGCTAGGCGGCATCTGTTCGAGCTCACGAGGTAGCTTGCCAGTTTGAGGCACCACTGGTTCTTTGTCTCACGAACACAATTGTCAGCCTGCATGGCTTTTCACAACAGCAAAGTCAAGATTCTGATCCAACTCAAATGACATTTATGCCTTTCACACACAACTAGTCTAACTCTTGGGGAAAGAGTGCAAAATTGCCTGACAGCATCAGGTCAAGTTTCCCAGAGCAGAATTTCACTGGGGTAGGCAACGTGTCTCTCTTTGCAAATGTCCATGGCATACTGAACCCCCCGCAGAGTCGTTTCGATCACCATGCTGGCATCGCTTTGGCATTTCGGGCTAATGACGAACAGGCACAGGCATACATTATGCAGCCTCACTTGTCGAGCAACATCTCATTGGGCAGAAGAGTGGTTCAACTAGAAAACGGAGAGACAAAGGGAGAAAGAACACTTTACTATGGCATCCTAAGGTCCATGTGCCCTGTATTTTCAAGCGAGGTTTTTGCAGTGGCATCTCTGATTTGCTCATACGCAAGTGGCGGTTTCTGGGAATTGACCACTTTGCCTGGTCCATTCCATCCTGGGTATGGTTTTGTCGATGTTGTGTGGGCACGGCACATGTTTCACAAAATGAGAACAACACAGCCTAGGCACAACGTGCAAGGTCAATGAATCTCCGAGCTGGGACAACGGGTTCTGGGCCTTGCAACTTGCCACCGGCGGGCTAGTGCTATTGGCTGGCAGGAACACATTGGAAAGCTGTCTGTCAGTCTGCGCGCAAAAATTGACTAACCGGGGCGACTTGGCAATGAACAGCCTGGAGGTAGTCCTCCAGGGCGCGGTCAGCACCCACCTGGCTGATGTGGGATTGGTACTCTTTGGCAACCTCAAACCGCCGTTGCAACGCTTTTGCCTGGATGGCAAAGTGTGGGGCGGCGCCAAACTGCAAAGGCAGGAAGCAACAATTCAAGACTGGTTCAACGCCAAGTGTGAAATGAAAGCAGCTGAATTGCTGGAGTCAATCTAAAAAGTTCCTTGAAGTCCAGACATTCATCACAGCACCCATGACTGCTGGGGGGAAGGAACTTCAGGACCGGCCGCCACATTCTATCAAAAATATGCCAGAAGTGCTCATACCTTGACAGTTGCAAGGATCAACCATGACCTATGCTTGAACTAAGTCCGACAGGTTGCTATGTTGTGGTTTGACAGCGCATGCTGCAATGGCCTGCGGTTGAGGCACGATATGTCTTTCCTGCACCATTGTTGGTAGAGCATTTTTATGTTACCAGGTGGGAGCCATCTCGTTGGTAGCGCTTGCACTTTCTCACAGAAACCAGTCTCAATAGCCCTCATGAACAAGGAAGGTGCTTGAAAAACGCATATCTAAGCGATATAGCAACACAGCTTCATCACAGTACCTTCAACATCGCTTGTCACTTCTGACTTGTGGTTGACGGCAAATAAACTTGGTTCATGGCTGGGTAAAGTAGCTGTTGGCTCCCATCAAGTGCATTTTGAGCTCTTCGTCGGACTCCAAAGACTCAGATGGTATTTTCAAATCCTCCCCGTCATCTGCTCCAGAATCTGAACTGCCTGGGCCGCTTCACCGCAACCCAACCTCCTCAGGTTTGAATGCTCCTCAAACAATATGGCTTGATTGGTTCTTCTATCCATGGTGATTCGCAAAATTGTCACAAACAACATTTCCAAGAAACGTTCATCATCATCATGATGATCCGGCGCAGGGCTACTGACGCTTTCCAGCACAATAGCCAGCTTCTCTGGACGATCAAATTTTCTTGGCCGGCCAGATCTTGTAAACCTCAAACCCAGAAAAGACATCAAACCCAGACTCCAGACCCCAAAAGCTAGCTGGTTGTTGTTCCGTCCAAGGAACTTATCTGGCAGCATCCCTGCACTTTTGGCATAAATGGACAGGAGGAACTGGTTGATAAGCCGCGCTTTCACTGGTGATCTCTTTGTGGATACCTAATCACATTGGAATTAGCAAGATTGATTACATTTTCCTTTAGTTCTACAACAAACTTGCAAAATGAATAGGAAAAAACACGGCTTCTGGCAAGGTGCTCCCCAAACAGCAAATCGGCGGTCAAATCTGCCTTGTGTAACTCTCAGGACTCTGCAGTTTCCCACCCCGAGAACCGCCAAGCAGCACTTCGGTCCAAAGAGCTTTCCGAGCAAAAACCATGTCTTACGACACCTGGTGTTACCTTCCGATTCCATGATCGTACTCCTAAGGAACTCGTCTTGCACGTGCTTGGTCATTGACCAAAAGGCACTCAAAAACTGCAATAGGGCCTGCTTTAGGCCCTTGAGTTGTTGAAAGCATGTTCGCCTGTGGCACCTGCACGAGTTCTGAAGCCTCAGGTGCTCCAGTCGTGAATCAACAGTGCCATGATGTCCAAACCTGGGCACAGGAACAATCAAATGGGCTTGGACATGGGAGACCACAGGAAGGGCTAAACATAAAAACTGACCCTTGTCCAAGCCTAGTTACGGAATTCGGTCCGTCATCTTTGCAAGGAGCCTTCTCTTGGAGCTGTTGTAGTTTGGACGCTTCCTCACTCTCTCTCTGACATCTTTTGCAGCCTTGCCAACCTCAATCGCCTGAGCTGTATCCTTGAAGGCAAGCAATCCTTCAAGTGTGAACTTCACTGCTGGAATCTCCCTTGAACTTGGTGGTTGAACCTGTTCAGGAGTCTGTTCAGGATCTGGCTTCTGCTTGGAAGACGTCTCTTCCTTTTCCTCTAACACCAGCGTTGAGAAAAACTTCTTCCTTGAGGAAGATGCTGCTGGAGTTGAACTTGATGACTGGCAAGGTGAAGGCATTCTTTCCACAATTGGCTGCGCTGCAGCTGGTGTAACCACTGACTTTCCAAGACCAGCTGACTGATCAGCTGGCTTGCTGGACTCTGGAACAGCTGCCGCTCCAGAACTTGAGCTGGCCAGGGATTTGATGAAATTCCGTCGCTTTTCCATCATGGCATGTTTGCTACAACCAAAGACGCGTTGAGTCTTGTGTACCAATGTACATGGGTGTTGCTTTAACATTCAGGCTCAGGCTAAACTCCAAAATGTAAAGAACAGTATTTGACAATATAGTATAATATAGTAGTATATTTGGTAGCTTCCCTGACCAAAAGGACATATTGGGGCTCTCTAACAGTAGCAATAACATTGCTTTGCCCTTCACCTGGAAAAGGGCCATAAGCGGCAGAATAGGTTGAGTGAGTACATGTGAGGACATAATCTTTGAAAACAGCTGCCGGAAACTAGGCATCAGACCCTTGGAGATGCTGGGGGCCCTTTGAGATCACCCTCCATAGCCTGCAGAACTTTCATTTTTCAACGACCCCAACCACAAGGTCCAGTCACTTGCTCGGGCCGCCTGCCTGCATCATCACGCTGGCTGCAGCAGCGAGATCCGACGTCAGATCAAAAAGAAAAGGCGGCCGGCCGTGCAATCTTACCGTCTTGTTAATTTTTTCATGAAGCCATGAGACCCAAATGCAAAAACATGAGACCTAGTTGTAACGAAATTGACTTTAAAAGCATTTCAAACGAGCGGTTTTCTCTATAAAATCAAGGACCAACCCCGCCCCAGTCAGCGGGGGCATGAAACGGTTTATAGGACGGGGTTGACCCCTGTGATTTCATAGAGGATATTGACATGGAGATTCTGGATGGAACTCCTCAGTCTCACCAGTTGTTTTGGCCAAGGGTATGCCAGATCAGAACAGCCAGTTCTGTCAGGAAACCTCTCAAAAAGCGGTCACCATGCATCAGGAGTTCCATGTCCATGGATGGCACAGGCACCCCAAGATGAATTTAATAGGGGGATATATAAACCATCGACAGACCGGGGATAGTGCCATCTACTCTGAGTTGTTCGGTGAACAAAATCCATTAATAATCAATAACTAAAATATAAAGGTGAGCTAGTCTCGAAAAGGAATGTTCTTCACCGCGGTAGGCAATTGACAGCCGCCGTGTCTGACTGGGCCGGATCTGCCATTTGCTCCACTCCGCGGACCCCGAGCCCCCCGGAACCGGGTCCGTCCGAGTCGGTGCGCGGAATTGAAGAAACAGCAGGAAGACGGGGAGTCAAATGCAGTTGGCATCACCTTAGGGGGGAAACCCTACCAAACCGTCAAGATTTCAACAGATTCCAACGCCATCTCCGTTTTGGGGAAAAAAACAGAGGTCGCACCACCACCCGCACCACCTCTCTGGGGTCGCTTCCACCGCAGTGCCGCGCAGCGGTCGCCGCTCCACGAGTTTGCGCTCGGCCAGTTGCCGCACCAGTTCCTCGCTCTCGGTGGCTCGGGCGGTGATCGGCGGTGCGGTGAAGGTAGGGGTGACGCGAGCGATTCACGGTGATGGTGCCAAAAGAGAAAACTCGGCAGTCGAAGCACCATGTAGTTATTCAAGAGGCCTGGTCATCCGAAAAAATAGAAATATGTTTTGCTCATTAGGACTTAACACTACCATCAATCAGATCAACCAAATACAATCTATAATAATCTATACCATTCAACATGGGACATCATGAGATCACACGGACTGAGATCTCAACGGGTTCGCTTCGGACTGTTTTGGTGTGGAAAAAGAGAACATCGACCGCCCACCGCGAACTGGTGGAGACGAGACGTTCGCCCAGTCCATGGACGAACTGCTGTGTTGAACGTGCTCGTGCGTTTTGGGGTGGGTGGGGTTTAAACCAAAGGATCGCCAGACGTGCAAAAAACGTTGGCTGAAGTGGAGGCGCCTCATGATTTTAGGGCCTTGGGGCTGAAGTGGAGGCTGAAGACCACATGAGCAGCGATGTGGAAGTTCTCGGTATGGATGACAGAGAGGAGGAGAATTCGTTTGTCAAATATCATAGGCTTCTTTGATATAGAAAAGAACCCTGGATTCCGCAACCTGTTCCAGCCCTCACTGGAAAAAAAGACATGTCCGAAATGGAAGATTTACCGCATCTGATCGACTCTTGTGTTGGGGGCTCGCGCTTGGAAAAAACGCCACCTTCTTTGGCGCGAACCTTCTTTGGACTGATCGGCAGAGACGAGAAGGCGCCCCTTCGAAATCGAAAGGAAACGAGTGCGCTGACACGGCGACAGCGTCGGACGTGTCCTGCCTACCCTCCAAAAGATGGTGTTTGTGTTGGACGAGCGTCTGGCCAGCTACGCGGTCTATCTTGTTGCCAGCTACGCATCTGTTTCAAGCAAACGCATCCCAAACTGCCATGTCAGTCCCTGCCGCATGTTTGTGGCTGAGGGGTTCTTGTCATCGAAAAGTTTTTTTTGTCTACGCTGGGTTTTCTGTGAGACATCGAGAGTTTCTGCCGTTGTACGAATCCCTTGCGTCTGATAGTTGAATTCCATCCTGGAAGTGGGAGAGGTATCCTTCGCAACGGGGGGTTTTGAATCGTTGGTGAGCGGAAGCAATTCGGGTCTTAGTCTGCAATACCTGGATCTTTAGGGGTGTCCTGTCTGGAGGTCCCTGTAGGTCGTGGTCTGGGGCGAAACCAGCCAGTTGACCCCGATATTTTCTAGGGTGCCTGGACGGAGATGAGGTGAAGGGCCCAGTATACAAACTGTGCTTTGTGCGTGGCTAAGGAAAAAAGAAACATATATTGTGTGCTGACCACTTGGTATTCTGTGCCATATGCTAGCACGAATGACTTTGATTGGCGCGTTTTGTGTCGGTTGCTTGTTTCCAAGGTTCCACAGGAGAGCCGAAACACAGGTCTTCCTTCAACGTTTGGAAACTCGTCCAACTGAAGCTGCTCAGTTGGCTTTGAAGTGTGCTTTCCTCGAAAGAAAAAGAAGTTCTGTGACGATGTCTCAAACAAATCCTTGCCCATAGACGTCCACTTCGACTCTCTTTGGCAAGTTTTAGGACAATTCCAGACTCCCTCGGGGCAGCTGTTGAACCACCAAAACTGTCGGACAGGGACAGGGTGGGGAATCTCCTGCTGCAGACTGGTCGGTGCAAGAATTGCCCCCTTCAGAACAGGCCCTAAGAATCCATCAGAACACCACCAGGCACCTCAAAACCAACACATCAAAACCAACCCTCCTCACTCCCTCTTGTTCATACCCTAAGAATCCGGACTCCTTCACCAACACAATCCAGGTTTGAGAACCGGGCACGTTTCCCCCCCCCGTTCTCCCCGAATGGTCTCCCTCCCGGCCCTCCCGGAGAGGAAAGGCCCTACATTGGAGGGGCTCATTGGGGGTTCTCACCAATCCCATACCAGCACCCTCCAACAGGTCTCCTCTAAAGAGTTGTTAGGCCCTAACAGGTCTCAATTAGTGACCTGTAGAGTCGGGTGCTGGTGGGTTTTGAGGTCCCGGGTCGGGGTTTTGGCCCAAAACGACTCATGAAACAGCTGACATCTTGCCACCATGGCTCCGCATTCTCAAGACTCTTCTGCGCCCCTTCCTTCACCACGTCGTTCAACCGCTGCGCGGCTTCCTGTGAAACGGAACATTCGACGGCTCAGCTTCAGGGCCACGTTCATCGGATTCTCTCTACGAACCTGCAGAAATCTTGCTAGTAACAAGGTGCATCGCCAGTAACAAGAAGCTCCGTTCGTAGCGATGCCCTTGTTACTATACTACCAGGACCCTCCTGTCGGGGTGCCCTGTCTGGAAGCCGAACGGCCGGTAGTGTGGGGTAGTCCATTGGACACCCCGACAGGAGGGTCCAGGTAGCTTCTAGCTACTATAGTAAGTTCACTTGTTACTGACTTTGATGTGATCTGTGGGGGTCGGTCGCATCTTCGCCGTCTTCTCTCCGCGACCCGTCGAGAAAAACGGAGGTCGCGACAGAGGTCGCGGAAGCAATGCTCCACGCGGGACGACGTGGTCCATGGAAGATCAGCCAGAGGCGACTGATGGGGCTGCCATAGGACTGCCGATCAATTGACCCCCAAAACCACCCCGGGCCATTGTAAATATGCCAGTCCCATGGAGCGTCTGGGTCCATGGAATCTCACATTTTGGGGGGGTCCACCCTCAAAAGAAATAGCACCTGTACACACATCATTGCTGAGCTGAGGTCCTTGGGGTAACCTGCTCCTGGGTCATGGAATCAATGCGTCCTGATGTCGGAGGCTTCATTGAACCCCGACGTCGCACAGCTCTGCACACAGCTCTGCACCATGGGCCGGAACACACACCTCTGCACGCCTCCCTCCAACCAAGCGGAGGTTCCTCCCTCCAAGTCAGGCTCTCCAAGGTCAAAACAACCAGCAGCCCCGATCGGCAGGTCCCCGGTCAACCACTTGTCACATCCGTAGCGTTTCTCCCCGGTCACCGTCACGTGATACGCCCGTTCCACGGGTTCGGAACGAGGCGTCGGTGCCAAGTACTTCGGGGGGGGTCTTCGTCTCATCAGCCACTGGCACCGACCCTGAGGTACGATGATTGGAGACTATTGATGTGGGCGCCGACCGGGTCGGGCCCAGTCATAGCTTCTGAGAGTAAACACTCTCATGGACTTTGCAACTCAGTAACTATATATGCCACCTTTTCCGCACCCGCTTCGTCCCGTTTTCGTACCGGGTGGGGCTCAGAAAACCAGGTGTCACGGTCTCAGACCGGGCGACGGAGACCCCTCTTCACGCGTCCACGTTGCGCCTTGGACTTCTCGTGGATTTGCTGGGCGCGCTTTTTCGCCTCACCGAAAGACGTCGAAAAGGAAACGGATTCAAACCGGAGCTCACACCCCCTGTCGAAGCAAGAGGCCAAGATTCAAACCGGTGCTGGAGTTGGGGAGCTTCGACAACTTATTGTATAGTGGAAAGTCCTTTTCTTTTGCTTCCTTTCAACCAAACAGCCAGTGCATATTCCAGAACTCCCAACCCGTGACCAAGAACCATCTCCCCCACTTAAAGGCTCTGAGTATTAGCGGGCCTCCTTCTGTGGATTGGTCCGCATTGTCTTTCTGGAGCTTTACGCGAGCCGTCGCTCGAGGTGGTGTGGCGAGCTCGTCTCGTGGATGTGACGTGACCAAAGACACCGAACCGGCACCCCCTCCGCACCCGCACCCGCACACAGATCAACCGAACGTGAGTGGCTGACTGGGGGTGAGTCGAGCGACGAAACCGCTCGGACACCTCGACGTGCCGAAAGCGATCTTCCGAATAGAAGCACGCCCAGCGAGGCTTCCGGAGCCTGGAAGTTCAGGAGCACGGTCTTTAGGTGATCCAAAAAGGAACTTCCTGTACTTGCAATGCCAGAAATATCCAGAAATAAGCGAACTGGACTTCTAGAGGGCTCCGTGATTCAGCTTCGGACCCCAATGTTGAGCAGTGATTTTTCGTCGAGCTGCCCTCAAAGAAGAAATGTAGACTGAATTGTAGACGATTGACTATTGATTCATCAACCCCCATCCAATTTGGATGGTTAAACCCTTTTTCTTCAGGCAGTTTTGAGGCCACTTGCGACCGGATTCCACCAGTCGACACGGCACCCACCGGCACCGAAACCCGCGCCTCGCGCGCGGCGCTGTGCGCCGCTTGGACGGCGTTCCGATACGCAGGCCTTGGGTTTTCCGGTTCCGATCGGCGGCGGAAGCTGGTGGTTTCGATGTGCGAAGCTGGGAAAAAGGAAGACTTTGTGTCCCCAGATTCAGCTGGATTCCTTCCCAGTTCGAAAAAAAAAATAGATAAAAAAACAACAGAACCACCTGAACCGCAAGACCAGGGTTTGGTGGTTCTTTTTCAGGTGCCTTCGTCGAAGGCTGTCGATCTTCTTCGATGCTTCGCTGCCACTTCTGTTGATGCGGCTTCCTGTGTCTATTTGCGGCTTGTCTATGCCGTGTCTATGTCATACATTGGGGCGGCTGAAGGGCAAGACTGGAAGAAACCTTGACAAGAAGTCCTGGCTCAGGCAGGTCCTTGGCTCGGCGCCTCGCCTTCCCGATGCTGACCTCGGAGACCTCTGGAGTCGTAGAGTAGTTGGATCTGCTGCAGCCACTGTAAGCCACTGCAAGGCCCTGAAGAATCCCTTCTAGTCAGTCTGAGTTGCTGAAAAACTCACACCACTCTTGGATCGATTTCCAAGGTCATGTGTCCTCTCCAACATCACCACTACAACCAAGATCAGCTCTCCTTTCCTTTGACGCCGGGACGAGTACACCTACAACACGCGGAACACTCGTGTAGAGTTACAGGACCTCTCACGGCCAAACCTCACGAAAAACCGTGTTGGGACTCCAACACGTCCTGCCCAAGCTGCTCGGCCAAGGTCATCTCGTCCTCAGCCTCGGTAATGGCCTCTTGAGTCTTGTCCTGCCCAACGTGGAGTTTCATCAAGACTACCGGTCGGACCAGCCAAGGGCCATGGACCCTGCAGTGCTTGCAGGATGGAAAGATGGAGAACCCAAAGGTCCAGGGGGGGTTGAGTCTACTTCTTCCTTTTCTTCCTTCTTCCAGTAGGTGATTGAAATCGACTCGATGTTCAAGGCTTGCAAGGGAGAGAGTTGAGGTGCACTTCAAACTTCAAACTTGGCAGAGGATTAACCTTTGCAAACAACCCAAGTTCCTCAAGAGTTAGTTGCTAATCATCGATTGGCACAAAGCCCTCACCCCTCCAATGATCCAAAAACGTGGTTGCACAAGTGTGCCCTCACGAGGAGAGTTTCAGGCCTTTCTACTGTTGCTGGTAATGGGACGCGCCCTGTTGCTGGTAAAGGATGATCCTCCTTATGGTTCAAAAAAGGGTATGGAGCACAAGAAGCGAGAAAATTGCGTGGAAAGGGTCTCCAGCTCCTGGCTTTTTGCGGATGATCCGCACCCTTCCCTTCTTTCGGGAGGAGATACCGTAGGCGAAGGGCACACACGGCGCAAAGATTGCAAACATAAGGATGTTCATAGGGAATATATATATATATATATGTATGTATCCAAGCAACCCCAACCAAATCAACTATACCCTAGGGCTCTAAGTACCTTGGTTTCGGGTGTCTGGGGTGGGTGCCGGGAGGGTCCAGTCATACCGAACCTGAGGAGGTACCACTGGAGCCCTAGGAATAGGGAAGAATCAAGTAATGATCCATGTCTATCCAATGTCTATCCAAATTTCTCATTGTGCAATTGTTACTTCAACGATTTATCTCCCAAGGTCGTCCAAGTTCTGATGGACTACCACCACTCTTTAACCACTCAGATCGAGGCTCGGTGGAAGGCTCGGTCGAAGGCTTTGGGTGCTTGTGCCTCGATCGCGTAAAGGAACTCCCGGATGGACACGTTGTTGAGGCAAGCCTGCACATCAAGGAAACCCTCCCTGAAACCAACATGGGAAGTGGAGTTCACCACCTGTTTGTAGAGATAGTTCACCACCTGTTTGTAGAGATGGTCTTTTTTGAGGGTCAGGACGTTTTTTCTTCCATGATTGTTGCAGGGAGGTTAGGGATCCAAAGAGCTTGTCAGGTTCAGTACGACGGGACCCTCCTGGCGCCTACATTCTTCAGTCTCTCTCTGCGAAAACCCTATCAATAGGAGAGTGGCAGTGGATTGTGGATCCCAATACCAGGACCTTCCAAGAGGTGGTCTTTGCTTAACCTCTAAGAGGCTACTTATAGACACCTCTTGGAAGGTCCTGGCATAGGGATAAAAGTTGTAATTATATAGTCACTAGTCACCTCCAGGCTGGAGCCAACCCCTAGCACTAAGCTGTCTCCCAAAATGGTCTAGACAGCAAACGAAGAGCCCGCATGATGTGTCGATGTGCTAAGATACTAACGCTGCTGCTCCCTATCTGCATGATCGGCATGCCTATCTGCTCATCAATCCTTCTCATTTTGCTGCATCGCTGCGAGCCAATAAATCAATAATAGAACCATCCCATGAAGGAAAACACCTGTAACAATCGCCTCTGTCTGCTTGGACATCTCACCACACAGCTCTCTTCATTGACCGCCTTGACCGCTTAGATCTAAAACATCTCCGTCGACTGAATTCCCTTTGCAAATATAGATTGACCAACTAGTGAACTTGTGGATATAGAGACATGTGGTCAAGTGGTCGATGAAGGAATTGTACCGGTCAAGTGGTCAACCATGGTCAACCTATATAGTCTTTGCAAATTGACCAACTTGAATCGGTGAATTATGACCAACTTGTGTGCCCAACCGAGTGATTTGACATGTGCCCAAGGATGTTTGTCGCCAACTCTTCCAAAAAACCTGGTCTCAAAGCAGTGGAAACAACGGTTCAACTATGACAACTACAGCAAGACTTGTCGCTCAATAACATGGAGTACTGACAGCAATAAGATTGACAACCTCTTGTCACAACCCATTTAGGTTTTGTTTAGTGGTAGACATAGGGGTTTTGTGCCGTCCACAAAAGTTGTGGTGCAGAAATCGTGCAGAAAGGAAAGGAATTGGCCTGAGTTGGTCATTCGGGAAGGACCTTCGTCGAAACGGCACGCGCCGTCCTTGGTGACTTTGCCGAAATGGTAAAGAGCGTCCCAAACCTGGGGGCGCAGTCTGTAAAAACCACGCACACTTCCCGCCTTCGGAACGGACCCCGACTGAAAACCGACTGGTTTTTGTATGCAGACCCCCAAAGAGATAGACAAGTAAATCCTCACTAAAAATGGACCGGAAACCATGCCACTATTTATTTGGAGACCACTATAGAGAAGAACCCCTCGATTCTCAGTGCCATTCTCAGATTTCAACGTGAGTTTTCGGGAACTTAAGGTAGACTCTTGATTAGTAAACCCCCCAATTGAATTGGAAATCCCTCTTCATAAGGGGGTGTGTAATCAAGACTCTATACATTATAGTTATAATAGTTTCTGTACTTCGGGAGCAGTCGATCGTGTTTTTTGAATCCATCACGTATCGTATTTTGGTGTGTTCGCAAAAACTGTGGACCATCTCTAAGTTTTATCCGAACCAACCAGGCTACTCTGCCTGCTTGGTCTTGCAATCGTGAGGTTTTGCTTTGGGACCCATGAGGTTTTGTGGGTCGGAACACATGAGCCTTGTCACGCGCTAAGCGACCACGCATGGCCGTGGCTGTTCACATGTGACCACCCTTCTAGCTCATTGGTGACACTTCACCAAGATCAAGTTTGAACCTATGAAGATCTATGAAGCCCACCATCCAGGAGGAAAGGCACAAATAGTTGCAGCGGTTTTAGAAGAAATCAACTGCTGCCAGCATGCACAAGCGTTCAAAACTGTTGTACAGCCTTCTTTGGCCACGTGCCGTGTGGTTGATGTCGTACGCTCTTGTGACATGTGTCAAGATGTGTCAACCACAGATGTTCATCGCCAGTTCACGTGCACACAAAGTTAGCACATCGACGTGAAGGTGCAAAAACCCAAAAAGTCAGCGTTTCAAGCAGGAGAGGTTAAGTGACCCCAAAAAGAAGACTACTGGGGTACCTGCAGGAATGGTCTAAGATCGGGATCTATAGGCTTCTGAAAAACTCTGTTGGAAGATTCCCACCCACAAATGCTAAACCGATCCCCATCACATCCCCACCCGACCCATCCCTGGCGTTCGTTGAGCGCGATGGAACGTGATCAAAGGAGGCCTGAAGAGGCAAAGTAGACTCTGAAAAGAGTTTCAACTCCCCTTATATAGGCCTGTACCAGGAGCGAGCCCCGTTCGTCCGCTGGTGTTGGGACACCCCGTTCCTCACCTCTTTACAAGGCTATTGATAGACACCTCAAAGTGAAGGTCCAGAGGTTTCACGTGGTATGACACTTCATGTCTGGTTTGGGTGAACATCCAGAGTCGTCAGCAGTCTGGTTTCGCTTGCAGACCAACCTTGAGTTTCCCAGAGCGAGTCAAGCGTGATGACGGGTCTCGGCCGGTCGTCGGAACCACGGTCTCGGCACACCCGAAGAGGTCATCAGCGTCCGACCGGATCTGGTCCGTCCAAAGCTCCACTGGGTCCCGACCCTCGGTCCCTCCTCGGTCGTCTCTGTCCGCGGCCACCGCCTGAACCCGTCGTACCTGTCCAACCCGGATCTGGCTGGAGGAAAGGCGGCCTCGGCCTCCACGGTCCTTCCAAGCTAAGGGACAACCAGGAGGTCCTGCTTCACCTTCGTGTCGTACTCCCTGGAGGGTTCGTGCCAAGGCGACTGTCGGCCGGAATCGGCCGTTCCGTCCGTTGGACGAAACCCTGGAGGTCGACGTCGACCAGGACCTCATACAAGATGGTACAAGTAGGGTCATGTCCCAGGTTCCAAGATGTCCAAGGCACAGAAGAAGGAGATACCCCCACCGTCACGTCGTTTCCTCTTGGGTTAGGTCTTCGGTCGCCGTCTCGGCGTGATCCAGCCGTCCCGTGAGTCGTGAGGTGGATACCATTGGGGTCGTGGGCGTCCCTTCTTCCTCCCCCAATGGGTCCATGTTCGAAGCATCACTCGGCGTCGTGGTTCATTCAACGACGGCGGAGGACGGAAGTCGTGTGGACTTGGGTTGAAAGGACCATCGTTCCAGCCGCTTGAAGAGGAGAGACGTGCAGTGGGAGGGGGGTTCACATGTTTCACTTGACCGTCTTGACTTCCTTTGAGGATTCCAAAGACTCACAAGGCTTACAAGTCTTTGAGGAGTCCAAAGACTGCCAAAAGGTGAAAAGCAAAAGCTGGGATCTGTTCCCCAAACTCGACCTTGGGAGGGAATGTCTGTGGCAATGCCATCACAACAGCATCACCACAGCATCGTGCAAGTGTTCCCCGAATCCTGTTGCTTTGGTTTGGGCTTGAGAATGGTCGCCACCTCCACGAATGACCAAGAAAAACACTTCTGTCTTTGGTCTACTGTAGAAGTATGACCAACTTTCTCCCATCTTCTATAGTTCTACAAACATTTGACACACAACCTATCGTCGCAGCAGTGTGTTTGGCGGACGACACTCCAGCACAAGAGTGACATAGCCCTCCCTGGCAAACGGCCATTCTTTGTCTATCAAGCACGGTGCTGTTGATTGGAATCTACTGACTCAACTATCTCATGTAAGCCTGTAAGCCCTAGTGGTCACACACTGTTGCACAGCCAACACTTGCTACAGGTGTGTTGGCCAATCCCGACCAATATCATCTGTGCTTAGGTAGCAAAAAATCACGTCACTTCAAACTGCCCCCGATGATACCCCTGAGCCCCAAGGAGAAAAAACACACAAACCATTGAAAAAGTGGATGAAAACGCGAACCAATTGCGATGCATTTGAACGAAAGGCTGCGGCTCAGGCAAGAAACCGGCAGAGCTTCTGCAAGTACTTGGAGTTTTGGTCCTGGGCGGCTGACGATCGCGGCTTCAACGATCGGTGAACGGATCGGCCGATCCGTCGAAAGGTGTTCCGCCGTCGCCGAAGGAACTGATGGCCGCGGGAACCGTCTGTCCTTCCGAAGGGGGAGAAGTCAAGCTGTTAACACATGCAATGAGAAGTCCAATGAAAAGGATGTGTCGCCGGGAAAAATAGATAAACAAAACAATAGGGAAAAAAAAAAAACACAGAAAATATCAACAAAAGGACATGATGACCTACGCACCTCAAGATGTCTCGTGGCTACCCCAAACAATCCGGCGCAAAGCAAACACTTCTTCGGTTGGATGCGCCACATGTGGCTCTGACTAGCCATAGGGTGTCATCCAAACACCCAGGGTACAGGAAAGAATAGACCAGGTGCCTGAGTTTTATGATTTGAACACCATAATGTAGACTGTTGATGAATAAAACGCCCCCAAGCTTTACAATCAATATCTGGAGGGGGTTTTGGATGTCAACAATCCACAAATATCCATATACTGGCCACGTTTGGTGGGTTTGGGCCACGACTGGACCAGTTGAATCCTCCCTTGAGGCTGTCTCCACAATACATGAAAACATTATGAACCTTGAGCCAAAAAGCCTAGTATCATATGAACATATACAGTATAGGCCATATAGGTTGAACATGGTTGAACAACAAACATGGTGTCTGCCCCCATGTCTTGACAAAAGGCCAATGAGTATTGCCTTCACGACCTCCCATCATGAACAACAGCCCATCTGTGATCCCCTAAGTCATCCCCTAAGTCGTCGTCCCATCTGTCGTTTTGCATCCCTTTGGACTCCACAGCTCCGAAACCGCTCCCAAACCGCCGCGCCAAGGAGCCAGACGGCCCCTGAGGCGCAGCTGTCACACCGAACGATGAGAGCTGTCCGGGTATGTTCCAGGGAGACAGGTCTGGAAGAAATGGAACGACAGGTGGTTGTAAAAACACACATGTATGTCCATGCCATGTTTGTTGTGTCCATATTCAGGTCAGGTTAGGTTCGAATGTTTCAGATGGAAACCATAACTGTAGTTATACTTGCATTCAAGATCATTCAAGTGGTCAATGTATAAAGAGAAACCAATCTGCTTCTGGTCGCAAGAAGAAGGCCATCGTTTGGAGGGAAGCCGCAATCAAACTCCCTAACCGCTGCTTCCATCCGAAGATGAAGTGGTGTGCTGGTGGGGTGTGTCTAGTCCTGAGGACGTCACTTCGTCGTCTGGAGAACAAGAAGAAGTTCGTTTTCGGACAAAACCCATGTTCGTTCAACCTGGGTGTTGTCTCAACCTGGGTCTTGCAAAACCTGGGGTCTGTCTTCAAACGAAGAGCTCGCCACCCATCCATCGAGAGTCCTGTGCAAGGTGACTTTGTAGCCTGCCTGCTTCAGGCGAAGCAGGCCCGGAACATCTTGGAATTTGTGGAAGGGAAGATCTTCATGGTTTTCCCCATGGCTTTCACCCTCAAAACGATGGGAAACCCAGATTCGGTAGATTCTGGTTTGGTCCAGGAATCGCTGAAGCTGTCCAGGGTCCAGGGTCCCAGACTTGTCTAGCAGCTTCGATCGAAACTCAGCAAGCAAATCATCCCTGTTACAAATAACTGCTATTAGACTTATACCAGGACACCCTAAGGGGTTTCCATTGATAGCTCCTTAGAGGATAAGGGGTGTCCATTAACCACCCCGACAGTGGGTCCTGGTATATGCGCCAAAAAAAGGCCTGTGTCTGAACTCTGACCATCCCGACTCTGGCACCAAGGGACTGGTGCTTCTTGAGCTTCTCCAAGTCGGCATCTGCCTTTGCCAGTGCCTTTTGCGCGTGCGCCACGCACGCCTCCACCTTGCTGGCCTGCAGGGGCATCAAGCCAAGGCGGGTGGGATGGCCAAAAGGAATCTCCCACATTTAATGACATATGAAGAGGTGTTAAGGTTTACAATCCAGATGGGGGAAGGTTTTTGATCAAGAGTGTGGCAAAAAGGAAAATCCCTCTGAGTATGGTTGGATATATCCCATGACCAGTAACAGTGAATGATGATGGTGCAAAACAATGCGCCATCGGGCCCAAAAACAAGCATATTGATCCTCATTGTACCGACTGTTACTGGTAATGAGAAACACCCTAGGTCTCAAACAATATGGTTGTGAGGAAGCAAACCTCCCCCACCAAAGACGCCTTTCAGCGCCTGGATTCGGTTCCTTTGATCTTGCCTGGGGTTTGAGCCATAGCCATATACTGATCATACTGATGCACAGTGCATGATGCTGCATGCAGGAGAGTGATCGGAGAGTGATCGGTTCATATACTACGCATGGGGAAAAATTTCTAAGACCAGTGTGACTGCAGGTTGACCATGGATTACCTACTCTGGGTTCATTCATGAAATCTCTTTTGGACTCTTCCTGTTGAGGTGCAATGTTATACCCACTTACATGTCCGTGACCTCTTCTACAGTTTCAAATCCACTGAACAACATTGGGCTCTGCCCAAACGGAAACTTGAGAAGCCTCAAACATCTTCTTATTCTCAAACACTCCATGTACCGGAACCCACCCTGATGCATATATGCCATACATGGAGTGCTTAGAAAGTATATGAGTCTCCTACCAAATTTAGAAGCCATACTATATTATCTATATATTGCCTTAATTATCCTTAATTCGTCTTAATTCATGTTTCTCCACCACTAGGCAACTAGCCCCTTGTTTTCCTACTTGTTTCGAGACCTCTTCTATCTGAACTGGTTGGCAACCAGGGTGTTCCCAAATGGGGCATGCTTTCCAATAGAAGATTCTGACCCAAGTTGCCCTCCGTATGATCTCCGGTTCCGCCCTCCATCATCTTTTTGCTGCACCGAAAAAGAAAGAACGTCGAATCCTGAAAGGGCCGGGGGCATCCCCGTGTTTCGCCGGCGCCTGATGCTTTTGGACGCGGATCTCAGTGAGGATGCCAGGGCACACGCTCTCAGCCAGGCACATCGCTCCTCTTCGTTCCGTCCTTACGACAAGAACTCGGAACACGTGTGGCCGTACGTGGCTGGCCGGCCATGCTGCGGCTCGCACAGACTCAGCACCTGAGAAGATAGGTCCACCATCGTGTGGACGAATGATTAGTCATGCACAGCTCATGACTTGTCAAATGTATACAACTCTTCTGGTGGGTTTAGTGGTTTAACTCAGTCTACAGTACTTCTTTGAAGCTCATTCACATTTTGTAGGACACTGCAAAGAGAGTCAGGGTAGAGATCAATGAAGTGGTTTTCAACTCGCTCTCCCTCCGAGGATGTCTGACACATCAAACTCCCCTCAGTTTTCTCAAAGGGATCTTACATTGAAAGAGTCCATAGAACAAACCGCTGCCTGGAAAAATTCAGGCAACATCCTGATGTCGGGATCGTCAAGGGATCCGGGAGTCCTGTCTTGGAAGAGGAGGTGTCCTGCCAAGAGTGAAGACCTCTTTGCATGAGTTCCATGGTGGCAATTCCTGGATCAATCCTACAGAGGGTTCACCAAGCCGATTGATGGATGCTTATCCATGCCTACAGTATCTGATCAACAAAAAACTTCATGGAGATCCCAAGAAGGGTAGAGATCTACCCTTCTCACGGGTGAAAAAGAAAGCGGCGCATCATCACCTCAGTGCGCCTCCAAACCAAAACTGTGAAACGATCCAAGCCGCACCATCGACACTAGGTGAACCCGTCGACGCTCCGTGAGTTCACCGCCCTTTCCTGGTCCCGAACCAAACCCTAGGGATTGGTGAGAAGGTCCGGACCCCTACTGAACGGAGGGTCCGGCCCCCTACTGAACGGAGGGTCCATGAGCGCCTGGGAACAAGAACTTTCCATCGACGCGTTGACGAGCACATCACATGGTGACGTGGACGGCCTGGACGGGAAGACAGGGAACGGTTCCCAGTGCCGAGTGCGAAACACTGACAGTACCAACACTCTGGTCAGATGAGTACAAAAGAAGCAGCAGAAAGTAAAAGAACACCTACCCACCGACCATCTGTTCATCTTTCATGGGGGACATGGTTCTCCAGGACCCTTGAAACATCTCCAAAACCCTGCACGCTCTGGCGGGCTCTGCACGCTCTGCACGGGTGGGAATTGATGGGTTTCCAGCCCCCAGAGGTTTGAATCTTCGATCATCCACTTGGACATCGGCATTTTCAGTGAGGGGCTGCTGTGCCATTTCGGAAGGCATCTTTGATGTCCAGACCACCACGAACTCTAAAACCACCAAGCGCTCCACTTCTCCTCCCCCAGTCACGGTCACGGGAGACCGTCCCAGCCACACTTCATCGCGGCTCTTCACACACTCCGAGACGTGGCGAGCCAGCACCTGGGAGTGAAGAGAGTGATGTTCGGATCGGAACCAGAGGTCGAAGAACTCGACTACCAGGGGGTCACGTCCCCAAGTGAGTGGATGGGCACCCCTAACCTCCATTGAGGGGTGGTGTGGCTCGTCCCCAAGGGGTGGTGTGGCTCGTCCCCTATCGTGAGTGGATATTCTGGGCACCCCGACGACCTCCATGGAGTCCGCACCCCGTCGGTCTCGTGACCCCTGGTAGGCTATCCCAGTTGGGTATACCGCAGGTTTACGGGTCTTATGGTCCTGGTCATGTTCGCTACCTCTGGATCTGAAGGGTTGTGGATTCTCCCGTTTACGGGCTCCTGGCCCGCCCCATCTCCAAAGGTAGCCGGTGGGGACTTGGTTCCAAAAACCCACCCCCAAGCACCGAAGTGAAACGGAGGTGGGCCAGGAGCCCGTTCGGGTCCAGTAGTGAGCTTGGATTGAACTATATATTGAACTATTCCCCAAGCAGGTCCATCCAGTCCATCTCCAGTTCTGCATGTGGGGGGAAAACTTGAACTACATCAGTTTGAACCCGGAACACGACAGTTTTCCAAGTCAGCCTTCTCGCATGCTGCGTCCTCTTTTGTCTACAAAACTCATCTTCCATCATCCTCCCAAGAAAAAAACCTCCCACTGCCACTGCCGCAAAAAACCCACCGCATCCTCCGACCGCAGAACCAGCTCCGCTCCGAACCCATGCCTCCTCCCACTGCCGGTCGACCGCATCCGACCGCATCCACTCCGTGTCGCCTGGCGTTGCTGCTGATCACTCATCTCCTCGTCCTCGGGAACTCCCTCCTTCTGCAAGCGGTCGATCCGCTCCTGCGGGAAGCGAAACCGAACGCACAACGCACGCGCGCGTGAAACGATGGTCGGTGACGAGGACGGTCCGTGGGATTTTGGTACCGAAGCCAAAAAGAGAGACTCCGAAGGCATCCGAAGGCTGTACTCTAGAAGGACTCCGTAAACATCGTTGGGATGTTGATTTTGTACCTTCCAAAATTCGTGTTCGTTACTCCGAAGGCTTTCAAAATCTCTTCGGTTGTGGGAATTCACTAAAAACATCAGCATCTTGGTAAGAGTGGTTGCCATGATCGAAGAATCAATACAGCTCTGGATGAACTTGGAGAACCCACCCCAAAAAGAGGACCTTGAGTCTTGAGTGATTCACCCACCTGCAGTTTTGGGATCTAACATCCGTCGACAAAGAAGCGATGTCCGTGTTTGCTTTCCAAACACAGACCTCATGTGCCACTCATGTCACATCTGACGGTGATGTGGTGATGTCAGGTACTGCAACCACACAACCATCTGGCTGACTGCTCCCCGGCACGGCGTCGTGCACGTAGGCTCGAACTGGGGGGCTGAGTCTCCATGATTAAAATAAGCCCAAGCCACATCCCCAACAGCTAGAAACATGTTGCGCATGCTAGAAGACCCCTAGCTTCGCTGTTGGGGAAAACAAAACTAGGGAACCCCTTAGACTTCACCTCCTTTTGGAGAAAGTCGGCCCTATTTGAGAGTTGATCCTCCAAAAACAGGGGTCAGGTTCCAGAGGTACACACCCATCTGCAATTGGATGACCTCCAATTGCCCTTGATCTTCGATCCATTTCGATCCTGCGTGCATAGTTGGGGGAGCTTTCGAAGGAAGAGAAGCTGCCCATTCCTTGGGGTCCCCATGCTTCGGAGACCGTCCACAGCCAAACTATACCAGCCAGGACCCTCCTGTCGGGGTGTCGTGGCTGAACTACCCCACACTACCGGCCTAGGCTTCCAGACAGGGCACCCCGACAGGAGGGTCCTGGAGGGGATAGATTCGATATATACCAGGACCTTCCATGAGGTGTGTATTGAGGGGATTCGGGTGTCGAAAGTCGGCCCTGGTAGAAAACAGGGGTGGTGAATGGCCACCCCCAATCACCTCTACAAGAAGTTCATCTAAGGTGCTCTTCTTGGACACCCCTTTTTTTTCATGGGAACCCTGGTATATACATGGACCTCTCCACCTCTCTCTCCACCGGACGCACCGCCCTCCGACGTTCCGGACCGGCGTCCTTCGACTCCGCGAGGGCGGACGTGAAGTGCTCCCGCGAAGCGAGGCGCTCCTGAGAGCGAGGCACCGCCGGCACCGAGCCCGGACGGACCACGAGACCGGGAGAGACCGGGAGGACGACCAGGGAGTCAGGTGGTGGAAAAATCACCGGTGATGTGCAATGGGTTCATCACGTATATTATATATATATATATACTACCCTAAAAGTCAATGACCATCATGGTCTCACTAGGTAACCCGAGTTCAGGAATATCCTTTACATCCGTCGGTCAAAATATAGTCTTTGGACTTCTATAGGGTATACAGTACTTGTCCTGGAACCGCTCAAAAAGTAAAACCTGTTTGGGGAGGATCAACTGCTATCCAGGGCCAAACGTCCTATCAAAAAGGAGGTGAAGTTTGGGGTTCTAGGTACAACTACCTCATGTGAGAAGTGTGCAATTAGACTGACATCATGTCCAAGATCTTCAAAGACCATCTAAAACAAGGCCAAAATGAGTCGAGCTCCATGTCTTTTCTCTCTCCACGCGTGCTCACCGCACCCCGACCCCGACCGTTTTGAGGACTGGGACTTGACTTGTTCGGGAACTGGTATGGAGCCACCCTGGAGCCACCCTGGAGCCACCCTGCAGACAGAACCTGCAAAGAATTGGTTGGACTATAGTAACAATGTTCGCTACGAACGGGGCTCCTGGCATCGCTACTAGGAGCAAGGACGCTACTAGTAGCTCCTGGCATTAATAACAAGAAGCTATTAGAAACAAGAATTCTCAGCCTTCCAGTTCCACTTCATCCTTCGCTTTGGCAACAAGCTTTAGCGTCGCCAGAGCTACACCAGAGCTACACTGTGTCCAATAATTACTTGGTCTAAAAGTGATCTAAAGAAATGCTATATTAACATTGATTTCTCAACCTGAAGTGCTCCAAGGTGTCCACACGACCGGCGAAAAAAAAAAAAAAAAACACCTTCCCCCAGTCTCCGCTTGTTCCGCTCGCTCCGTGGCAGCCTCCACGGAGCAGTCGGAGACCCGACCGAACCCCTCGGATCGCCGTCGGGCTCGGGCGCGGCCGGGCCACGTCGGAGATCTGCTTCCCGTCCACCTTCTCGGGGTCTCCTTTGCGGTGCAGTTCTTCCTGAGACGATGAAGTCGACGATAGAACTACGATCGAACAGCAGCGCGCGGAGCGCGGTTCGAGGGGCCGCGGCAGGGCGGGTGCTTGGCATGGTTTTTGGGGAGCGGTTCGACGGGCATCACCGGGGGGTCTATGCCATCCAGTTGGGAGATCGGAGTGAACGATGTCAACCGTCCACCGAATTGGCGGCCGAATTCTGGGCGCCAGCTCCCTGCATCCACCGGATCCGTTTTCGTACCGAACCTCAGAAGAACCTGGACCCGAACATGGCACCCAAGCCAGTCGCACTGTACCTGAGGTTCGGTACGAGAACGGATCCCTAGGGCCCTAGTGCCAGAGAGCTCCCCTTCTGTGGATAATCCCTGAAGAGTCCAGGCATCAGACCAGGCGTCCATGGTCTGACGAAAGGGTAACCCTACCCGAGTCTGCAGGGACGTCATTCGGTTGACGGTGTAGGTTCAAGCTCGTAGCAGTCAGCAGTAATATGAATATATGCCTTCCAGGGAATCCAAATGTGCATGTTTTTTGTTCAAACACGTTCGCGCAAAAACATCCGTGCATCTGGCCTTTTTTGTCAAATGGACAAATTTTCTGGATTTCCTCCGAATATTGGGTTTGATTGGGCTTTATCAATATAATTGTTTGGGTTTTTGTCGATAAAATGTTGATAAAGTTTGGGTTTCATATGGGTACGCTGTTGTACGGTAGTGTTCTTCTGTCCATACGGCTAAATACGCTAATTCGTTAATTAAAATGTACATACGATAAATTCTGTCCAAATACGGCCTTCGCACAAAACAAAGTGTTCATACGCCTTTCCAGGTTTAAATTAGAGCCAGCTACATCCTCCATCTTCTTCTCAAGGGGCCACTTGGGACAATGAAGATTGACCAAGTCTAAGCCTAGTAGCTCTGAGTCTTTAAAAAATGAAGATAAGACAGGTGGCCTGCTCATGTTTTTGCCTGAAATGCTTAAACACAAATTTATACAAATTTATCTAAATGACCAGGCCACAGGTTCGCACTGGCGGAGCTCTCACGCCCCACACTCCATGGGACTCCAACTAACATGCCTACATTGACCTCTGAAAACACCCAACCACCCCAATATAGATATATAGACCCCCCAAATAGATAGAAAAGCAAGTAGATCCCCACTTCAAGTGTATTGGACACCGTGCCACTATCTATTTGGGGACCACGATAGGCCCACAAACATGGCCTCAATTATACCCGGATCTTCCAACTGTGCAACAAACTTCTGCCTTTTCATCCATCAAACCAGCTTAAAAAGGCAGAATTGTTGCATAGTTGGAAGATCTACCAGCACCTTCATGTCGGGGTCACCTGGCTGGTTTCGCCCCAGCCCACGACCTACAGGGACCTCCAGACAGGACACCCTTTTTCAGGTCCAGGTAGGTATAGATGGTCTGGTTCGAGTCTGAAACCTCTGTGGTCCACCTCGCGTGAGAGCTCCGCCGTGAAACCGCTCCAAGAGGCCAGGACTTCCTGGGTGAGGCGCTCGGCGGACGCCTGGCGACGGTTTAGCCCGCGGACCTCGTGACTCACATGACCTGTCGGTAGGGTGCTGGGGTGGTCTTTTGGTTGGTTGGTTGGTTGGTTGGTTGGCTGGCTGGCTGGCTGGCTGGCTGGCTGGCTGGTTGGTTGGTTGGTTGGTTGAAAAGGGGGGTCCATGTAGGCATGTTAGTTCCAATCCCAGACAGGTCGTGGTTGCCAAGACTTAAGAGCTAAAAAGAAAAACGTATTGAAAAGGGGCTTCAAGTTAGTAGGCCTATCTCATGGAGGTTCTTTGAGGGACCAAACACCCACTGCCCACACCGAAGAAGAGACTCTGAGACGTTCAAAGGCATGCGGAGATCGAATGTGTCTACCAACCGGACATGGATGACCTACGAAAAACCTACATGGCAGACCAGGGCTCCAGGTGACGTATTTTCAAGCCCTCACTACTGGACCGTGGAGCTGAAAAAGAAAACAGCGCCCAGTAGGTTCGTCGTGGTGCTTTCCGCCGGCGGGTTTCACCCTAGTTGCCTTCACCTCTCTAGTGGCCGATTCGGTTCATCCGTTCGGGTGCGCTGCGTGCGTGCGGAAGAACTGACGTTCGGGTAGTCCGGGATTCCTAACCTCCCAGGACCCAGTGGATGGTACCGGATGTTGCAGACACTTTCCATCCATCCATCTCTTGTTAGCTTCTTGTTACTAGTAAGGCCAGGAGCCCCTAGTACCAGTATGT